TTTTTTTTTTTTTTTTTCAAACTGCCTGGGTGAAATAAGACCAGCAAAGTTGAGCAGAGGCATTTCTTTACATCACTTCAATATACCTGCTCATTCTTGGGTGTAGCAAGGTCTATACTATAAGAATTTCACTAAGAAACTTTTCCCATCATTCTACAGTCCTGGTCTTGCTCCATCAGACTTCTTTTTGTTGCCAAAATTCAAAGAGTATTTCAAAGAACTATGAATTGGATCATTTAAATATGCCAATCTGTTGTTTTGACATGGTATATAATGAAGATTTCAGACTTATTTGAGGAAAGGTTTAGAGAGAAGCAGATACCACCTTCTGAAGTGTGTAGACCTAGATAAAGGCTATGTCAAGAAACAATAGCTTCACATTCTGATATTTTTGTTTAATAGAGATGTCTTGGTTATCTATTGGTGCTATAATAGAAATTCTACAAGCTTTAACAAATAGAATTTTTTTTGCTCACAATTTAAGAAACTAGAAGTCCAAGGTTGGAGTACAGGCTCTGGAAAAACGTCCATGTCTCCTTTCAGCATCAGTAGGCCCTGCATTCTTTGGAGTTCTCCATGTGTCTTGACATCAGTCTTTCTCTGGATCTAGGAGCTTCACAGTGCAGGGACCCCAGTTCCAAAGGACCACTACTCCTGGCTCTTCTATCTTGGTGGTAGTAGGTCCCTCTGAGCTTAGCTCACTTCTCTCTCCTTTTATATCTCAAAAGAGATAGACTCAAGGCACAACCTAATTCTGTAATTGCATCTGGCCTCATTAACATCACAGAAGTGAGGATTTACAACATAGGATCATTACATCAGATCAGGACTTCTCATATCAAATTCTATCATGGGGTAGATTTATTATATTAGATCTCATAATGGGGGTGATAACTACCTTTTAACTGCTAAACTGCTGAAAATCCTGGCCCAGACAAGATGACACAAAACCTTAACTATCACAAGAGGGTGCTATGATTTTGTAGCAATACTTTTTTACTTACCTTTGTATATGTAAGTTAACGTATATATGCGTGTGTTTTCTTTACATGTGTATATATATTCCACATCCTGTCTGTCAGTTTTCCTACTGTGGTAGTTTTTATGTTGCTGCAATGCTAGAATCTATGCCAATAGTATTTTAAATACCATCAGGCTCACCCATAGTGGAGAGATTTCAGCAGAACTTCATGCTAAGACAGACTAGGAAGAAGGAGAGACAGGCTTATTCTGAATGTTTAGCCACTGATAATCTTATGAATAGCAGCAAAACATTATTTGCTATAGTGTCAGAAGATGAGCTCCTCAGGTTTAAAGGCACTCAAAATACAACTAGGGAAGATCTGCCCCTTCAGAGTAGAGTTGACTATAATGAAGTGAATGGAGTAAAGATTTGGGGACATTCATTTGTTGAAGGGTCACAACTCAAAATGAGGAGAAACAGCTGTAAATATCCATTAATAATCAGAACATGGAATGTATGAAGTACAAATCTAGGAAAATTGGAAGTCACCAAACAATGAAATGGAACTCATAAAGATCAATATTCTAGGCATTACTGGGCTGAAATGGACAAGAATCGACCATGTTAAATCAGACAATTATATGGTTTACTATGACAGCAACGACAAATTGAAAAGAAAGACACCATATTCATTGTCAAAACTGAGCAAGATCTATCTTGAAGTAAACTTCTATCTTTGGTATGATAATATCTATATGCCTACATGAAGACCAAGTGCTACTATTGCTGATCAAATTTATGCACCAACCACCAAGACTAGCGATGATTAAACTAAATAATTCTACCAACCTCTTCATTCTGAAATTGATCAAGTATTCAACCAGGATGCATTGATAATTACTGGGGATTGGAATAAAAAAGTTGGAAACAAAGAGGATGGAACAGTAGTGGGAAACTATTGACTTGGTGATAGAAATTATGCTGGAGATCACATGATAGAATTTTTGCAAGACCAATGAGTTATTCACTGCAAATACCTTTTTTAAACAACATAAAAAACAACTATACACGTGGACTTCACCAGATGAAATACACAGGAATCAAACTGCCTACATCTGTGTGGAGAAGCTCAATATCATCAGTCAAAACAAAGACCATCAATTGCCCATATACAAGTTCAGGCTGAAGCTGAAGAAAATTAAAAGAAGTACAAGAGAGCCAAAATATGATCTTGACTTTATCCCAGTTGAATTTAAAGGCCATCTCAACAATAGATTTGATGCATTAGACACTAATGACCAAAATCCAGAAGAATTGTGGGATGACATCAAGAACATCATACAAGAAGAAAGACAGGAAAGGGAAAAAAAAGACCAAAATGGATGTCAGAAGAGACTCTGAAGCTTGCTTTTGACCACAGAGAAGCTAAAGTGACTAGAAGAAATGATGGGATTAAATAGCTGAACAGAACATTTGAAAAGGCAGCTCAAGATGATAAAGTCAAGTATTACAATGAAATGTGCAAAAACCTGGAGTTAGAAAGCCAAAAGATAGAACACGTTCAGCATTTCTCAAGCTAATAGAACTAAAGAAAAACTTCAAGGCTCAACTTGCTTTATTGAAGAATTCTATGGGCAAAATACAGAATGATAGAGGGAGCATCAAAAAGAGATAGAAGGAATACATAGAGTTACTATAGCAAAAAGAATTGATTGATGCTCAAACATTTCAAGAAGTAACATATGATCAAGAACCAATGGTATTGAAGGAAGAAGTCCAAGTAGCACAGAAGACACTGGTGAAAATCTAGGCTTCAGGAACTGATAGATTACAAATTGAAATGTTTCAATAAACTGATGCAGCACTGGAGGCACTCACTTGTCTATGTCAAGAAATTGGAAGACAATTACCTGGTCAACCAATTGGACATCCATATTTGTACCCATTCCAAAGAAAGGTGACCCAACAGAATGTGGGAACTATCAATTCATATCATTAATATCACATTCAAATAAAATTCTGCTGAAGATTATTCAACAGTAGTACATCACCAGGGAGCTTCCAGAAATTAATGCTGGATTCAGATGAGTACATGGGAGTAGATGTCAGGTGGATTTGGGCTGAAAACAGAGGATACCAGAAAGATGTTTACTAGAGTTTTATTAATTACACCAAGGCATTGGACTGCATAGAGCACAACAAACTATTGATAATACTATGAAGAATGGATATTTCAGAACACTTAATTGTAGTCATAAGAAACTTGTACATAGACCAAGAGGCAGTCATTTGAACAGAATAAGAGAATACTGACTGATT